CCCGTTTTTTAAAGGTTCTGTTAAAAACAACCTCATTTAGATTATACAAGAAGCATCTTTTACCAAGGCAATTTTACATTAAAGATGTGTAAACAAACCGCTGCAGTGCGTAGATAACAAAATGTTAATCTTATAATGATTTGTTTTGTTTAAAGAGATAACTTTTACAAGCTCAGAAGTGATTATTGACGGTAACCAAATTTATGTTAATGGCCTGAAAAAATAAAACATTATAAGGATGTGTCTTAACAAATATACAACATTCCAAAATATAGACAGAGGGAAGTGTAAGTAATTTCAATTTGGGAAATAGCTGTCTCCATGATGTCATTTGCGAGATATCGCCTGTAGCTCGGATGCATTGTTTTCGGGATATAAAAGCTCTGTTAAATGTCCGTAGAATTTCCCAATAAAAGTACAACGTATTTAACATTGGATGCAACATATCCATGATAAGCCATTAAATCTGCGTTCAATAACACCATTACGACCTGGATTGAGACATAGGACACTTATTTTCGCAAAAATAGGTGGGGTTCCTGTGGTATTCTTCAAAAGCCAAAATTAACGCGAACGAAGTCACGGGCAGCTACTAGTATTATTAATGGAGTACGTTATATCCTTTCCTAAGTTCTTTCCTGGGATTCGCACCATGCATTTACTAAATTTAATTTAAACGCTTCGGCGGTGAGGTAACAAACAAACAGACACTTCTGCATTTAACATCTAAATTATATAACTGTACTACTCGGCTTTACGGGCGTTAATTTGAGGAAAAAATCAACTAATAAAAAATACTCCATACCATCGCAAATAATACATTATTAAAAAAATAGGATTACCATAAAAAAGTTAAAGTAAGTTAACCGTGAAAGAAAGACAGACATATATCCCCTCATTGATATAAAGTATAAGCTTAGATTACTAACTCCATGTTTAGTCCCTGTTCATTGCATTATATATCGCATTTTAGTAATATGAACAAAACACGGCGTAACTAGTCTAAGCGTATTTGGAACAAGCTGTATGCCGGAATTATTTTTAAAAACATTTAAAGAGGAAAAAAATTGCCATGCATGATTTGTGCATAACTTATAATTCTCGAAAAGTTTTTGTTTCTGCCCATATTGTTTGTAGCTTTATGTGATATGGCCTTTAGTTTTCCCAATAAATGAACTAATCGCCCAAATTATTTCAAAATCAAAATTGTAAAGTTATAGTAGAATAAATTAACACACGTGAAATCTTTAAACATTACACGCGTTCTGGCAGTGGTGTAAAAACATTTAAAAAAGTACCACAAATTCAAATCGTTCCTATTGGTATCAAAATTACCTGTTTGCCAGTCTGTAGTAGTGAAGGAATTTTCGATTAGTTAATCGATTTGTTTAGTTCATTGTTTCGAAAGGGCTTATTCTTATTGGTAGGTGCAGTTCACTAATTACTTATATATTAAAATGGAGAGTATAAATGACATAGATGGATGGTTTTGGCACTATTTATTATTTAACATTTGTAGACGACACTTATTTCAATAATGTCTCTTGTAAACGGTAACGCTATTTATTTGGAGAATATAGAGGGACCATGCTTTCAAAGTGTGAGTGGCGCGCAGGTTGAACAGCATGTAAGTTTAAGATAATATTAACTAATTTAAATAAATTTTATTGCAATGTATTATTTTTACAATTTTTATAGACACACTGTAAATATTGTTTTGAAAATGTTTTTCGTTCACTTCTTTTTATAGTACTTCTATTTTACGTATAATTAAAAATAACATCTTGACTAACAAAAGTTTTCTAAAAAAGTTATTCTATAATGAAATGTTCATTTCATTATATATTTTTACAAAATTATGTATTTTACCTAAACATTTTTTTTTTCACTATAATAACATTTTTACATACTGTAGTTATTAACAGTAATTTCTTTGTCCTAACAGCCTGAGTGCAGCGAATTGGTGGGGCTGCCGGTACTCAATTACCACCAGTACGAGTACCACCGGGATGGCGCTGCACCGGAGAATCTAGGAATTGTGGCCAACAGCGGTGCAATGCCTCCTTCTTACAACGTCCTGGCTCCAAACGACATCGCGGCTCCTATTGACATCCCAGTTTCGCACAACATCCCGGCTCCGTACGACGTTCCGGCTCCGTATGACGTCCCGGCTCCTTACGACTTCCCGGCTCCTTACGACGTCCCGGCTCTACCTGAAAATCAGGCTACTTACAACATGCCGCCACCTCCGTCTTACTACGCTATGGCTCCATCTTACAACATGCAGCCGCAACAGCAAGTTCTTTCATTGCAAGGTGGGCACAATCATATCAACCAAGATTCACGGTGTTGTAACTACGGTGGGCAGCCAGTGCACGTCGTCAATAAATCTGCTACCAAAAAGCCAAAGCGACACAGGACTGCCTTTACCACGGATCAAATTACTGCTCTGGAGCTGGAATTCGCGAAGTCGCGATATGTAGACCGCACTCGGCGTTTGGAACTGGCAAATACGCTGCGCATGACCGATCGCGCTATCAAAGTCTGGTTCCAAAACCGGCGGATGAAAGACAAAAAGGAGAGGATGGGAAGCCCAGAAATAGATATTTCGACAAGTTTCAATCATTCTGAGCATCGACAATGTTTTTGTAATAAATGACTCTAAAGTGATCCTATTAAGAAATATGTTTATGTTTATTAAAATAAATCTTAAATACCTATTTTACATTTCGTTTTTGTTCTCAACCTAAGTTTTTTTCACAAAGACTTTTAACACCTGTTGTATTTGGGAGTTTGAGAGACATATTCTTACTCATGGTGTCATTTTTAGTTTTTTTTTCTATTTATTTAGGTAAACAAAAAATTACAAAGTAAATACATAAAATAACTGTATTGGTAATGAGATATATATATTTTAATCGAGCACCGTTTACCGAAATTTCCAACAAACAGCGTTGAGTGTATTAATATTAACAACGCAACTGACAAGGTGTGTTACAATATAACTAGAAAAAAATATCCAGGCAGCAGACGGGACTCGAACCCGCACCCTTCGCTATCCGAGCGAATGCACTGAATAATTATGCTACCGCGGCCCTGATGGCCGATTCGAAACTCTTCTAGCCAAGCTTAAGCTGCAAGGCAGCGCCACCTCTTTGCATTGTAGGTAACCCACAATGTCAAATGAATACTTTTACAAGTATTAAACATTTGAAAGAAGAAATAGCAATTATAGTTATAATTTTAGTTTTTTAAGCATGTAACTGCTTGATGTTTAAATATAAAGAGTTAGCCTAAAATTCGTTAGTAATCTCGCCTTAAAACCATACTTAAATACCAAATAATATTATTCTCTGTATATAAGAACTAGTACCACATTTTTACCTCTACACTGGCCACTACAGAAACTGAAGTTTTCCCTTTGTTTGTGTTTGTAATAATGGAAACGGAACCCTACACTGAACATCCAACATGTTCCTGCCCGGTATAAAATCTTGTTTAATTATGACTTGAAATTTGCTTAATTCACTTGGATAAAAACGTAGTAAGTTCAAGGCTCTCTGTGATAGATAAGCTTTTGGATAATACCGCAAGAGGACTTCGGTCTCCCTGTGATAAATTCGCATTTGAAGAAGAATGCAACAGGTCAAAGTCTTACATTGACTACTTCTCAAATTGGACAGGCATAAACCGAATTATTCAGATTATGTTTGAGGTACACCTGGACAGAAGGTCACTATTTCCGTTGCGTTTGTATACAGTGACTATTCGCGACCAAGGAGACGGTTGTTTATTTCAAAAATTGTCGACTCGATGTTGACCTCGTTATAATGTTGTTTCTGATATTTTGACAAAATATACAGGTATATCGTAGTGACTAGAACTTTAATTTTCAATTATATTATTACATTTCTGAAATTATAGAAGTACAAATAGAAAAAAATATTTAAATAAACACTATAAAAATGTCTACGATGCGTAATTAGATTTTTTTAGGACGTGAAAATCTATTTTATATCCGATGTTTTTCATAGTGCTCAACATGATAAAAATGAGTCTCACTTTTACCATTTTTCGTTTTGTAATTCAATGTGAATAGTGAGGCTGATTTGAAAAAAAGTTCAGTCTCAGTATTACCATTGCAAAGTGAGACCCACCCTTGCATACAACTGCATTGGTCTTAGTAGTTTACTCCTAAGTAGCATTCGGTGCAAAATTTACACTACTTTAAGTATCTTCTATATAAGTAACTCGTATTTCCCAAGCTTACATAAAATTTTAGTGGCAGGTAAGTATATAAAACACATGTGAATCCGGGAAAAAATAACATTTATTGCAGATCATATTAGGTACGAGTATACTGTCGTGTAGCACCAGGAAAATAGGTGTGAGGTAATTATTAACCCTTACACAAGTTACCAAATTAGCAAAGTATCAATAATTATTTTAATGTATTATAAATGATTCACTTTTAAATTATTACTTCATTGGAGCTTTATAGTAGCAGATTTTTTAAAAGCATTGTTCATCATCGCATAAATTCGTTTAACTATATTTTTATATATCTCTGATTGAATATTCTGAGGCTAAATAAAAATTTAAAAAATTGTTGACAACATCAACGTAAATATGTCTCCCAAAACCGGTACCTAGGTATTAAGAAAATTCATGCGATAATTGGGGATAAAATCAATAAATTAGGGAAACATTTTTTACAAGAAATGCTGTTTATTTTTGAAATAACCTTTGTACGTGTAATGTACACAGGCTGTTCAAAAAGTATCGCGAATTTTATATTCCGGTGGGCTACGTCCCTGGAGTGTTTTGGCCCATCTTCGATTTCTTCCTATTTCTAAAACTGGGAGTACCGTGTCTATATATATATATAATATGAAATTCAGTGTACAGATGCATTTCGATAGTTAATTGTGACATAAGGTGAAGGCTACCTTTTCCTTAAAACATTTATCGGTGCTAAAAAACTTGCTCAGGGGGCCAAGATGGATGACAAAGTGTGTAGGATGCTAAGAAAAGACAAAAAATTAATAAAAACTGTATTGGTCCATCCTCGAATCACCTTTAGAGAAGTTGCTGTGGACTACACCACATATCGATTGGCTCGTGTCTTTTCATTGTTATCATTGATTTGGGCATGAGACGGCTCGCCGTAAAACTTCATGCCAAAATAGATCTACTTTCAATGATGATGTGATGCTTTGCTTTGGACAAATGCTTTGGACAAAAACACCACGCTAATGATACAGCAGCCGCCCGTATTCCACAGATCTGGAACTGTGCCGTTTCCAGTTCCCAAAACGAAAAAGGCCCATGAAAAGACGACGCTACGCCACAACGAAAGCGATAAAGACGGCATCGAAGGAGGAGATGAACAAGATCACAAAGAAAGATTTTTTCGTACTTCGAGAATTGGAAAAAGCTTTTGTATATATGTATTATATACGGGGGAATTACTTTATTGGGAACCAAAAAAACATAAATATGTAATGATAACTTAAAAAAATCTTTGAACATCCCTTTTTTGTAAATTACAACGTACTCGTATTTTTGTGAAGAATACGAGTACATATATATTGGTGACCCTCACACTTTACAAGAGCTCTTTTATTTTAAAATTGTAATAAAATAAACATTTAGTTGTGAACCACTTAAATATATCAAAATGGAAGCTTGTGGTTGTTAATATTTAAATAATATTTTGTGTATCGGTTAATATTTAAATAATATGTTGTGTAAGGGTTCATGATAATTATTTGTTTGGTGACACACGATAATATCTAACAAATGTTAATTTTGATTAGATTCGCATCTATTTTAAATACTTAACACTCAAATTTTAAAAAGAAGAGAGAGAAATATATAAAAGTATATTAAATAGTGCCAATTCTGCACCGCTTGCCATTTAGAGGGGTGAAATGCTAAGAGTAATGCAGAAGAAGTTATCTGCACCGTTCGAGATTTATAATTTATTTATCAACATTCAGAAATGATTTATCGAATATCGCATAATTGGTAGTTATAATAAGAAACGGCGAAAAGCGCCACATTTTTTAATACGACCTATAAAATAGACATTTACTAAAGTTATCCCCCCTTATTAATAAACGAAGAATGGGCTTGGATGAGTTACTCTATATTTTGTCTCTGATAATTGAATTACAAAAATCACTTAAGTGATCTTTTATGAACAAACCACGATGAACCAGTCTAAGCTTATTCCTCATTTATAATGAGGGGGGATAAGGCTTAAACAACCAAACAAATGCGAACAGACAAATGACAAGAAACTCGAGTATAAACCAAAATATACATGCGGGCAATACTCATTGAAGGTGAAAAACGTCACAAAAAACACGCTATCCGTGTAGTTTTGTAAGTAAGTAATAAATGAAACTTATTAAACTAATTCCTCTAGCCATTCTTAAGCTGCAAGTCAGCGCCATCTCTTTGCATTGTACGTAACCCACAATCTCAAATGAATACTTTTACAAGTATTTAACATTTGAAAGAAGAAATAGCAATTATAGTTATAATTTTAATTTTTAAGCATGTATTTGCTTGATGTTTAAATCTAAAGAAAATATAACTAGAAAAAAAAACAATTATGTTGTTGCTATACTCAATAGATGACATTTTTAAAAGCTACTTTTAAAATAAAAATGTCTTTTAAATTGTATGTACTCTAAGCTAGAGATAACTGGACATTAAGAAAATGTAAACAAACATCTGCAGTAATTTTATTTTTATGGGGAGAAAATTCCTGAACCGGTTCAAGAAACGAAGTGAGTAAACAATCTTACGGCTCACTTCGGCAATTTGTGTGGTCCAGCTGAGAGAGGAATCAATGTAAAGACAATTTTTTTTTACACCTAAACTAAGCGGCAGTATCGTGCCTTCATACACGACAGGCCGGAGAGAACTTTGGTCAATTTTAACTATTTGTTTAGAGCCACCTACGATAATGGCCTGACAAGATTATGACGAAAATATTTGTACCACAAAATATAATCGTCACTGGCCATGGCCTCTCATGCCAAAAGAGTTTTGGCCGAGTCTCCCGCCACGCCTGCATCAATGACGTCATCCGCAGGGCTCTTGTCGCTGTCAACGTACCAGCGGTCCTTGAGCCTAGTGGCATCTTCCGCGACGATGGCAAGACACCTGACGGGATGACGCTCATTCCTTGGAAGCAGGATCATCCTCTTGTATGGAACGCAACCTGCGCGTATACGCTTGCTCCGTGCCATACAGGTAGTACCTCCCTAGCTGCAGGCGCAGCGGCGGCCTCTGCCGTGTGCTCCAAGCGGTGCAAATATTCAGCTCTCAATAGAACTACATATTTATGCCGTTTGGTGTTGAGACTATGGACCCATGAGGTCCAAATGCTTCCAGCCTATTGAGCATTATTCCTGATGGCGATGTGATTTTTTATTTTGTTTATTTATTTATGTGGGTTACTAGGTAAAACTATATAGTTTTTAGGTTTGTGTTATTTTAAGGTATTATCTTCGTAAAATAATAAACGTAATAAAAATTGTCACTGTACTGGCATTAAAATTAAGTAATTGTGGGAAATTGTTAATGAATTTTCAATTTGTTAATCGTTTTGTTTTGTTCAGTGCATAATATTCATGTACTTAATGAGGGGGCCATTACACACACTAATTAGTATAGGATTAAAATTAGGCGTATACACGAAATAGAATAAGTACTAAAACGAATAACTGTTGCACCTGAAATCGAGGTCTGCAACGAAGAAATTATTATTCCTTATAAAATCTTAACCTTTTTGAACATCCCGTCTCATTATAACATCCCTTAAACTTACAGAATCTCACCTAATTACAACATACCTACATCCAACATGTCTCCTCCTTACAACATAGCTCTTTCGTACTGCCTGCCAATAAAATTTATTTACTACCTACAGGTAGGTAGGTCGTTATTCCGCTAACTCCGCGCGATGTCATTACAACGGTGGACAGTTATCTAGTGTCGTCAAGAAATCTTCAACTAAAAAGCCTAAGCGTCACACTGCTTTCACAGAAGATCTAAATAACAGTATTAGAAACGGAATACGCACAGAAGTACGTGATGCGTCAGATGGAACTACCCAATTTCCACCGCATTACAGATAGCTGTTCAAAAGTCTGGTTTCATAACAGGTGGATGAAGGAGAAAGAGGAGATGACTACATACCCTTATGTGTCAATCAATCTGAAGGTTTTTGGAATAACTAATTCTATGCTGTTTGTGTTAAAGATATGTTTTTTGTGTTTTTGTAAATAAATGTCTTAAATATTATTATATATTTTTTTCATTGTAAGCCTCAGTTTCCAGTTGATTTCTTAGTTTAGGGGTTTCATCGAAAAGAAATATTGTAGATGATAACAACACAATATATACAACGCATAATTTCTTACAGCTCAGTCAGATTTAAATAATATTTTCTTTATTGGAAATGCTTATACCCCGAAGTTGGTCCCATATAAATTTGAAAAAAACACCTAAGGGTAGGAAAACAGGGAATTATTGTTCTTATGATTATTTGTTATGATTGATTGTTCACCCAAAAAATATTAAAACGGGTTATCAGATCGTGTTTAGATCTATTATAAAGATAAAGTACTCAACGCATTTTCGACGACCTCCGTGGCCGAGCGGTTTGTCCGTGGCCGAGCGGTTTGTACGCCGGGTTAAAAGGTATCGCCTACTTGAGAGTCGCGGGTTCGAATCCCGGTGGGGGCAGATGTTTGTGTGACGAATACGAGCATTTGTATGGATGTTTAATATCTATTTCTAATATAAATATTTACATATGTATCAGTATATTTATTCTATCCATTACCTTAGTGTCCTATAAATATGAGCCTACAATGCTTACTTTGACGCAAGGCTAATTGGTGTGAGTGTTGGTTTAAAAAAAACGCACGTGAATACCTTCTACTCGCTAATTATATATTTTTTATATTTCATTAATTGCTCACAAGTAGGTACTGCAAAAAACACATTATGATCATATCAATGTAAGACAAATAAATAAACTTAAGATTATAATTTAAACTTAGTCAAATTATTTGTAAAATGTTCTTTGATTGCGAACTGTAAAATAGACTATCACTTAACTTCTTAATAAACGAAGAAAAATCTTGGATTAGTTACTCTGTTTTATCTCTGTTAATTAAATTACAAATGGCCCTTGAGTGGGACGGAACGTGGGACACTCGGAAAGTTTTAAGAAACTAAGAAACTAAATTCTATTAAAAAAAAATAGTTTTATTAAATCTTTCTAAAGAAAAAACTCTCCACCAGGCTCTATACAGTGTTTCATGTGTTTGAACCAATTTCCAAAACATTTTTTTTCCAATCCTCAACAGACACCTCATCCACGGCCTTCTCAAACGCTGCTAGCGCTTCTTCCGGCGATAAAAACTGTATTCCTTTGAGCTGATTTTTTTATTTAAGGGAATAAAAAGAAGTCACACGGAGCCAAATCAGGACTGTAAGGAGGGTGTCCGAAGACTAACTGGTGTGGAGTCCAGGACATCCTTCGTTTTGGTCGCAGAATGCGCGAGCGCGTTGTCGTGGTGAAGAAGGACCCCGCGGAGCCCGGTGCTAGGTCGCTTGTTGCTCACTGCAAAAAAAACTTCTGGCAGGCATTTTGTGCTATACCATTCGGCGTTGATGCTGCTTTGGTCTCGAAGTAGAATTGAAATTAGGTACCCCGTCAAAGTGAAGAAACTAGCGATCAAAATTTTCCCTGCGCTCCCCGATCGCTTCACTTTCGTAGGCGTTTGTTCATTTTGAAACAGCCTAACTGTCGACTGACGCTTTGTTTCTGCATCGTTTGAATTAATCCAGCATTCGTCACCTACCACAATATCGTAAACGCGCCTTGACGAGCCTGCATCAAATTTTTGTATATATCACTGCACCAATCCACACGGGCCTGCTTCTGAACTTCGGCGAGGTTGTGCGGCACCCAGCGGGAAACTATCCTCGTTACGCAAAGGTGCTCGGGCAAAATCTTGTGAACACCTCCTGAACCAATCTGCAATGCTGAATCTCCTCGTACGTAATTCGTCTCTTTTCTTGAATATTTTTTTTACTGCTAGCACACTTTCTTCGGTGGCAGCCGTCGTAGGACGACCAAATCTTTTTTCATCCCCCAAAGTAAGTTCCCCTGACCGCGTTTGAATTCGCTATACCAGCGGTAGATGGTCGCTTTTGAAGGTCCTTCATCCATAAAAGTAGTTCGAAATCGATCAAATGACTCATCTGGTTTTAGGCCACATTTAAAGTCGTAATAAATCATTGCACGAACATGTTCTCAATGCAGATCCATTTTTTAATAAGACAAGTAAAAATTTATTGGGTCTCGAAAAGATGCGGATGCTTTTAAATAATGGAAGTTTTCAAAATAATAACAAGTGGCTAGTGTCTTATGCGTAAAAACTTTTTTTCGCAAACTTTCTGAGTGGTCATGTGGTATTTATGAACAAAACACGGCGTAACTAGTTTAAGCTTATGCCTCGTTTATTGATATCGGGGATAAGGTTTATAGTACAGTCATTTCGTAATTTTACTCTTTGGTAGTCTCTAGTTTCATTTTGTATATAATTTTTTTATCGTAAAAGGAGTCGGAAAGGAGATATTGTCAAAATACTTCTTTTAAGCGCCTTTTTCCTAATATGGCGGCGCGAGCAGCAAAAATACAAGGTGGCAAATTCGAAATTCGGAAAGAGCACCTCAAAATTTATAAAATTACCAATTTTCAGAACTCCCGGAAAACTTTCCAGGTAACCACTTATTTCTCGCCAAATGACTGTACTATCAAACAACCAAACAAATGCTAACAGACAAATGACAAGAAACTCGAGTAATAAACAAAAGACAGATCCGTACCGTAATGGTTATTATGGGTGGAATTGTGACAAAAACTCCATTCATGCACTTTAGTCATAAAAAAAGTTGTAACAAAATTGACAGATAGAAAGGGATTTTTAGTTTGCGTAAAATGTTTTTCAATGTATTTAAATACCCGTTTTTTAAAGGTTCTGTTAAAAACAACCTCATTTAGATTATACAAGAAGCATCTTTTACCAAGGCAATTTTACATTAAAGATGTGTAAACAAACCGCTGCAGTGCGTAGATAACAAAATGTTAATCTTATAATGATTTGTTTTGTTTAAAGAGATAACTTTTACAAGCTCAGAAGTGATTATTGACGGTAACCAAATTTATGTTAATGGCCTGAAAAAATAAAACATTATAAGGATGTGTCTTAACAAATATACAACATTCCAAAATATAGACAGAGGGAAGTGTAAGTAATTTCAATTTGGGAAATAGCTGTCTCCATGATGTCATTTGCGAGATATCGCCTGTAGCTCGGATGCATTGTTTTCGGGATATAAAAGCTCTGTTAAATGTCCGTAGAATTTCCCAATAAAAGTACAACGTATTTAACATTGGATGCAACATATCCATGATAAGCCATTAAATCTGCGTTCAATAACACCATTACGACCTGGATTGAGACATAGGACACTTATTTTCGCAAAAATAGGTGGGGTTCCTGTGGTAATCTTCAAAAGCCAAAATTAACGCGAACGAAGTCACGGGCAGCTACTAGTATTATTAATGGAGTACGTTATATCCTTTCCTAAGTTCTTTCCTGGGATTCGCACCATGCATTTACTAAATTTAATTTAAACGCTTCGGCGGTGAGGTAACAAACAAACAGACACTTCTGCATTTAACATCTAAATTATATAACTGTACTACTCGGCTTTACGGGCGTTAATTTGAGGAAAAAATCAACTAATAAAAAATACTCCATACCATCGCAAATAATACATTATTAAAAAAAAAGGATTACCATAAAAAAGTTAAAGTAAGTTAACCGTGAAAGAAAGACAGACATATATCCCCTCATTGATATAAAGTATAAGCTTAGATTACTAACTCCATGTTTAGTCCCTGTTCATTGCATTATATATCGCATTTTAGTAATATGAACAAAACACGGCGTAACTAGTCTAAGCGTATTTGGAACAAGCTGTATCCCGGAATTATTTTTAAAAACATTTAAAGAGGAAAAAAATTGCCATGCATGATTTGTGCATAACTTATAATTCTCGAAAAGTTTTTGTTTCTGCCCATATTGTTTGTAGCTTTATGTGATATGGCCTTTAGTTTTCCCAATAAATGAACTAATCGCCCAAATTATTTCAAAATCAAAATTGTAAAGTTATAGTAGAATAAATTAACACACGTGAAATCTTTAAACATTACACGCGTTCTGGCAGTGGTGTAAAAACATTTAAAAAAGTACCACAAATTCAAATCGTTCCTATTGGTATCAAAATTACCTGTTTGCCAGTCTGTAGTAGTGAAGGAATTTTCGATTAGTTAATCGATTTGTTTAGTTCATTGTTTCGAAAGGGCTTATTCTTATTGGTAGGTGCAGTTCACTAATTACTTATATATTAAAATGGAGAGTATAAATGACATAGATGGATGGTTTTGGCACTATTTATTATTTAACATTTGTAGACGACACTTATTTCAATAATGTCTCTTGTAAACGGTAACGCTATTTATTTGGAGAATATAGAGGGACCATGCTTTCAAAGCGTGAGTGGCGCGCAGGTTGAACAGCATGTAAGTTTAAGATAATATTAACTAATTTAAATAAATTTTATTGCAATGTATTATTTTTACAATTTTTATAGACACACTGTAAATATTGTTTTGAAAATGTTTTTCGTTCACTTCTTTTTATAGTACTTCTATTTTACGTATAATTAAAAATAACATCTTGACTAACAAAAGTTTTCTAAAAAAGTTATTCTATAATGAAATGTTCATTTCATTATATATTTTTACAAAATTATGTATTTTACCTAAACATTTTTTTTTCACTATAATAACATTTTTACATACTGTAGTTATTAACAGTAATTTCTTTGTCCTAACAGCCTGAGTGCAGCGAATTGGTGGGGCTGCCGGTACTCAATTACCACCAGTACGAGTACCACCGGGATGGCACTGCACCGGAGAATCTAGGAATTGTGGCCAACAGCGGTGCAATGCCTCCTTCTTACAACGTCCTGGCTCCAAACGACATCGCGGCTCCTATTGACATCCCAGTTTCGCACAACATCCCGGCTCCGTACGACGTCCCGGCTCCGTATGACGTCCCGGCTCCTTACGACTTCCCGGCTCCTTACGACGTCCCGGCTCTACCTGAAAATCAGGCTACTTACAACATGCCGCCACCTCCGTCTTACTACGCTATGGCTCCATCTTACAACATGCAGCCGCAACAGCAAGTTCTTTCATTGCAAGGTGGGCACAATCATATCAACCAAGATTCACGGTGTTGTAACTACGGTGGGCAGTCTGTGCACGTAGTCAATAAATCTGCTACCAAAAAGCCAAAGCGACACAGGACTGCCTTTACCACGGATCAAATTACTGCTCTGGAGCTGGAATTCGCGAAGTCGCGATATGTAGACCGCACTCGGCGTTTGGAACTGGCAAATACGCTGCGCATGACCGATCGCGCTATCAAAGTCTGGTTCCAAAACCGGCGGATGAAAGACAAAAAGGAGAGGATGGGAAGCCCAGAAATAGATATTTCGTCAAGTTTCAATCATTCTGAGCATCGACAATGTTTTTGTAATAAATGACTCTAAAGTGATCCTATTAAGAAATATGTTTATGTTAATTAAAATAAATCTAAAATACCTATTTTACATTTTGTTTTTGTTCTCAACCTAAGTTTTTTTCACAAAGACTTTTAACAACAGGTATTTGGGAGTTTGAGAGACATATTCTTACTCATGGTGTCATTTTTAGTTTTTTTTTCTATTTATTTAGGTAAACAAAAAATTACAAAGTAAATACATAAAATATCTGTATTGGTAATGAGATATATATATTTTAATCGAGCACCGTTTACCGAAATTTCCATCAAACAGCGTTGAGTGTATTAATATTAACAACGCAACTGACAAGGTGTGTTACAATATAACTAGAAAAAAATATCCAGGCAGCAGACGGGACTCGAACCCGCACCCTTCGCTATCCGAGCGAATGCACTGAATAATTATGCTACCGCGGCCCTGATGGCCGATTCGAAACTCTTCTAGCCAAGCTTAAGCTGCAAGGCAGCGCCACCTCTTTGCATTGTAGGTAACCCACAATGTCAAATGAATACTTTTACAAGTATTAAACATTTGAAAGAAGAAATAGCAATTATAGTAATAATTTTAGTTTTTTAAGCATGTAACTGCTTGATGTTTAAATATAAAGAGTTAGCCTAAAATTCGTTAGTTATCTCGCCTTAAACCCATACTTAAATACCAAATAATGTTATTCTCTGTATATAAGAACTAGTACCACATTTTTACCTCTACACTGGCCACTACAGAAACTGAAATTTTCCCTTTGTTTGTGTTTGTATAATGGAAACGGAACCCTACACTGAACATCCAACATGTTCTTGCCCGGTATAAAATCTTGTTTAATTATGACTTGAAATTTGCTTAATTCACTTGGATAAAAACGTAGTAAGTTCAAGGCTCTCTGTGATAGATAAGCTTTTGGATAATACCGCAAGAGGACTTCGGTCTCCCTGTGAAAAATTCGCATTTGAAGAAGAATGCAACAGGTCAAAGTCTTACATTGACTACTTCTCAAATTGGACAGGCATAAACCGAATTATTCAGATTATGTTTGAGGTACACCTGGACAGAAGGTCACTATTCCCGTTGCGTTTGTATACAGTGACTATTCGCGACCAAGGAGACGCTTATATATTTCAATAATTCTCGACTCGATGTTGACCTCGTTATAATGTTGTTTCTGATATATTGTCAAAATATACAGGTATATCATTTATTTTATATCCGATGTTTTTTAAAATGCTCAACATGATGAACATGAGTCTCACTATTACTATTTGTCGATTTGTAATTCAATGGGAATAGTGAGGCTGGTTTGAAAAAAAAGTTCAGTCTCAGTATTACCATTGAAATAGTGAGACCCACCCTTGCAAACACCTTCTGCATTGCTCTTAGCAGTTTACTCCCAAGTAGAATTCGGTGCAAAATTTACACTATTTTAAGTATCTTCCATATAAGTAACTCGTATTTCCCAAGCTTACATAAAATTTTAGTTGCAGGTAAGTATATAAAACACATGTGAATCCGGGAAAAAATAACATTTCTTGTAGATCATATTATACTGTCGTGAATCACCAGGAAGAGAGGTGTGAGGTTATTATTAACCCTTACACAAGTTACCCAATTAGCAAAGTATCAATCATTATATTTTCGATTTCCACACTTTCATCATAATATATTATAAATGATTCACTTTTAAATTATTACTTCATTGGAGCTTTATAGTAATAGATCTTTTAAAAGCATTGTTAATCGTCAAATAAATTCGATTAAGTATATATTTACGTTTAACAATTTTTTTTAAATATCTCTGATTGAATATTGTAAGCCTAAATAAAAATCTAAAAAATTGTTGACAACATCAGCGTGAATATGTCTCCCACACCGGTACCTAGGTATTAAGAAAATTCATGCGGTAATTGGGGATAACGTCAATAAATTAGGGAAACACACAGGCTGTTCAAAAAGTATCGCGAATTTTATATTTCGGTGGGCTACGTCCCTGAACGAGTTTTGACCTATCTTCGATTTCTTCCTATTTCTAAATCTGGGAGTACCGTGTCTATATATATATTTAATACGAAATTCAGTGTACAGTCGCATTTCGATTGTTAATTGTGTCAAAAGGTGAAGGCTACCTTTCCCTTAAAATATTTATCGGTGCTACAAAACTTGCTCAAGGGGGCCAAGATGACAGACAAAGTGTGTAGCATGCTAACAACAGACGAAAACTTAATAAAAAAAAAACAATGTATTGGTCCATCGTCGAATCACAATTAGAGAAGTTGCTGTGGACACCACATATCGATTGGCTCGTGCCATTTCATTGTTATCATTGATTTGGGCATAAGGCAGCTCGCCGTACAAAATCATGCCTAAATAGGTCTATTTTAATTTTTTTGTGCGTGATGCTTTGGACAAAATCACCACGCTAATGATACAGCAGCCGCCCGTATTTCACAGATCTGGAACTGTGCCGTTTCCAGTTCCCAAAACTGAAAAGGCCCATGAAAAGACGACGCTACGCCACAACGAAAGCTATAAAGACGGCATCGAAGGAGGAGATGAACAAGATCACAAAGAAAGATTTTTTCATGCTTCGAGAATTGGAAAAAGCTTTTGTATATATGTATATTTTTTTTGGGAACCCAAGAAAAACGATAACTTAAAATTTAAATTTTTGAACAACTTGGTATACTTTTTTTATAAATTACATAGGTATAATCATATTTTGTGAAGAAAATATATATTGGTTGTCCCTTATAAACAAACATTTCTTATTGTATTATAATTAATAATAAGTACGCTTTACAAGAGCTGTTTTATTTTATAATTGTAATAAAATAAACATTTAGTTGTGAACCACTTAAATATATTAAAATGGAAGCTTGTGGGTTGTTAGCATTAAAATAATATTTTGCTAATCGGGTAACTTCTGTAAGGGTTCATGATAATTTTTTGTTGGTGATACACGATACTATCCAACAAATGATAATTTTGATTAGATTCGCATCTATTTTAAATACTTACTTAACACTCAAATTTTAAAAAGAAGAGAGAAAAATATATATTAAAATATATTAAATAGTGCCAATTCTGCACCGCTTGCCATTTAGAGGGGTGAAATGCTAAGAGTAATGCAGAAGAAGTTATCTGCACCGTTCGAGATTTATAATTTATTTATCAACATTCAGAAATGATTTATCGAATATCGCATAATTGGTAGTTATAATAAGAAACGGCGAAAAGCGCCACATTTTTTAATACGACCTATAAAATAGACATTTACTAAAGTTATCCTCCCTTATTAATAAACGAAGAATGGGCTTGGATGAGTTACTCTATATTTTGTCTCTGATAATTGAATTACAAAAATCACTTAAGTGATCTTTTATGAACAAACCACGATGTAACCAGTCTAAGCTTATTCCTCATTTATAATGAGGGGGGATAAGGCTTAAACAACCAAACAAATGCGAACAGACAAATGACAAGAAACTCGAGTATAAACCAAAATATACATGCGGGCAATACTCATTGAAGGTGAAAAACGTCACAAAAAACACGCTATCCGTGTAGTTTTGTAAGTAAGTAATAAATGAAACTTATTAAACTAATTCCTCTAGCCATTCTTAAGCTGCAAGTCAGCGCCATCTCTTTGCATTGTACGTAACCCACAATCTCAAATGAATACTTTTACAAGTATTTAACATTTGAAAGAAGAAATAGCAATTATAGTTATAATTTTAATTTTTAAGCATGTATTTGCTTGATGTTTAAATCTAAAGAAAATATAACTAGAAAAAAAAACAATTATGTTGTTGCTATACTCAATAGATGACATTTTTAAAAGCTACTTTTAAAATAAAAATGTCTTTTAAATTGTATGTACTCTAAGCTAGAGATAACTGAACATTAAGAAAATGTAAACAAACATCTGCAGTAATTTTATTTTTATGGGGAGAAAATTCCTGAACCGGTTCAAGAAACGAAGTGAGTAAACAATCTTACGGCTCACTTCGGCAATTTGTGTGGTCCAGCTGAGAGAGGAATCAATGTAAAGACAATTTTTTTTTACACCTAAACTAAGCGGCAGTATCGTGCCTTCATACACGACAGGCCGGAGAGAACTTTGGTCAATTTTAACTATTTGTTTAGAGCCACCTACGATAATGGCCTGACAAGATTATGACGAAAATATTTGTACCACAAAATATAATCGTCACTGGCCATGGCCTCTCATGCCAAACGAGTTTTGGCCGAGTCTCCCGCCACGCCTGCATCAATGACGTCATCCGCAGGGCTCTTGTCGCTGTCAACGTACCAGCGGTCCTTGAGCCTAGTGGCATCTTCCGCGACGATGGCAAGACACCTGACGGGATGACGCTCATTCCTTGGAAGCAGGATCATCCTCTTGTATGGAACGCAACCTGCGCGTATACGCTTGCTCCGTGCCATACAGGTAGTACCTCCCTAGCTGCAGGCGCAGCGGCGGCCTCTGCCGTGTGCTCCAAGCGGTGCAAATATTCAGCTCTCAATAGAACTACATATTTATGCCGTTTGGTGTTGAGACTATGGACCCATGAGGTCCAAATGCTTCCAGCCTATTGAGCATTATTCCTGATGGCGATGTGATTTTTTATTTTGTTTATTTATTTATGTGGGTTACTAGGTAAAACTATATAGTTTTTAGGTTTGTGTTATTTTAAGGTATTATCTTCGTAAAATAATAAACGTAATAAAAATTGTCACTGTACTGGCATGAAAATTAAGTAATTGTGGGAAATTGTTAATGAATTTTCAATTTGTTAATCGTTTTGTTTTGTTCAGTGCATTTATTCATGTACTTAATGAGGGGGCCATTACACACACTAATTAGTATAGGATTAAAATTAGGCGTATACACGAAATAGAATAAGTACTAAAACGAATAACTGTTGCACCTGAAATCGAGGTCTGCAACGAAGAAATTATTATTCCTTATAAAATCTTAACCTTTTTGAACATCCCGTCTCATTATAACATCCCTTAAACTTACAGAATCTCACCTAATTACAACATACCTACATCCAACATGTCTCCTCCTTACAACATAGCTCTTTCGTACTGCCTGCCAATAAAATTTATTTACTACCTACAGGTAGGTAGGTCGTTATTCCGCTAACTCCGCGCGATGTCATTACAACGGTGGACAGTTATCTAGTGTCGTCAAGAAATCTTCAACTAAAAAGCCTAAGCGTCACACTGCTTTCACAGAAGATCTAAATAACAGTATTAGAAACGGAATACGCGCAGAAGTATGTGATGCGTCAAATGGAACTACCCAATTTCCACCGCATTACAGATAGCTGTTCAAAAGTCTGGTTTCATAACAGGTGGATGAAGGAGAAAGAGGAGATGACTACATACCCTTATGTGTCAATCAATCTGAAGGTTTTTGGAATAACTAATTCTATGGTGTTTGTGTTAAAGATAATGTTTTTTGTGTTTTTGTAAATAAATGTCTTAAATATTATTGTATATTTTTTTCATTGTACGCCTCAGTTTCCAGTTGATTTCTTAGTTTAGGGGTTTCATCGAAAAGAAATATTGTAGATGATAACAACACAATATATACAACGCATAATTTCTTACAGCTCAGTCAGATTTAAATAATATTTTCTTTATTGGAAATGCTTATACCCCGAAGTTGGTCCCATATAAATTTGAAAAAAAACACCTTAAGGGTAGGAAAACAGGGAATTATTGTTCTTATGATTATTTGTTATGATTGATTGTTCACCCAAAAAATATTAAAACGGGTTATCAGATCGTGTTTAGATCTATTATAAAGATAAAGTACTCAACGCATTTTCGACGACCTCCGTGGCCGAGCGGTTTGTCCGTGGCCGAGCGGTTTGTACGCCGGGTTAAAAGGTATCGCCTACTTGAGAGTCGCGGGTTCGAATCCCGGTGGGGGCAGATGTTTGTGTGACGAATACGAGCATTTGTATGGATGTTTAATATCTATTTCTAATATAAATATTTACATATGTATCAGTATATTTATTCTATCCATTACCTTAGTGTCCTATAAATATGAGCCTACAATGCTTACTTTGACGCAAGGCTAATTGGTGTGAGTGTTGGTTTAAAAAAAACGCACGTGAATACCTTCTACTCGCTAATTATATATTTTTTATATTTCATTAATTGCTCACAAGTAGGTACTGCAAAAAACACATTATGATCATATCAATGTAAGACAAATAAATAAACTTAATATTATAATTTAAACTTTGACTAATTATTTGTAAAATGTTCTTTGATTGCGAACTGTAAAATAGACTATCACTTAACTTCTTAATAAACGAAGAAAAATCTTGGATTAGTTACTCTGTTTTATCTCTGTTAATTAAATTACAAATGACCCTTGAGTGGGACGGAACGTGGGACACTCGGAAAGTTTTAAGAAACTAAGAAACTAAATTCTATTAAAAAAAAATAGTTTTATTAAATCTTTCTTAAGAAAAAACTCTCCACCAGGCTCTATACAGTGTTTCATGTGTTTGAACCAATTTCCAAAACATTTTTTTTCCAATCCTCAACAGACACCTCATCCACGGCCTTCTCAAACGCTGCTAGCGCTTCTTCCGGCGATGAAAACTGTATTCCTTTGAGCTGATTTTTTTATTTAAGGGAATAAAAAGAAGTCACACGGAGCCAAATCAGGACTGTAAGGAGGGTGTCCGAAGACTAACTGGTGTGGAGTCCAGGACATCCTTCGTTTTGGTCGCAGAATGCGCGAGCGCGTTGTCGTGGTGAAGAAGGACCCCGCGGAGCCCGGTGTTAGGTCGCTTGTTGCTCACTGCAAAAAAAACTTCTGGCAGGCATTTTGTGCTATACCATTCGGCGTTGATGCTGCTTTGGTCTCGAAGTGGAATTGAAATTAGGTACCCCGTCAAAGTGAAGAAACTAGCGATCAAAATTTTCCCTGCGCTCCCCGATCGCTTCACTTTCGTAGGCGTTTGTTCATTTTGAAACAGCCTAACTGTCGACTGACGCTTTGTTTCTGCATCGTTTGAATTAATCCAGCATTCGTCACCTACCACAATATCGTAAACGCGCCTTGACGAGCCTGCATCAAATTTTTGTATATATCACTGCACCAATCCACACGGGCCTGCTTCTGAACTTCGGCGAGGTTGTGCGGCACCCAGCGGGAAACTATCCTCGTTACGCAAAGGTGCTCGGGCAAAATCTTGTGAACACCTCCTGAACCAATCTGCAATGCTGAATCTCCTCGTACGTAATTCGTCTCTGTTCTTGAATATTTTTTTTACTGCTAGCACACTTTCTTCGGTGGCAGCCGTCGTAGGACGACCAAATCTTTTTTCATCCCCCAAAGTAAGTTCCCCTGACCGCGTTTGAATTCGCTATACCAGCGGTAGATGGTCGCTTTTGAAGGTCCTTCATCCATAAAAGTAGTTCGAAATCGATCAAATGACTCATCTGGTTTTAGGCCACATTTAAAGTCGTAATAAATCATTGCACGAACATGTTCTCAATGCAGATCCATTTTTTAATAAGACAAGTAAAAATTTATTGGGTCTCGAAAAGATGCGGATGCTTTTAAATAATGGAAGTTTTCAAAATAATAACAAGTGGCTAGTGTCTTATGCGTAAAAACTTTTTTTCGCAAACTTTCTGAGTGGTCATGTGGTATTTATGAACAAAACACGGCGTAACTAGTTTAAGCTTATGCCTCGTTTATTGATATCGGGGATAAGGTTTATAGTACAGTCATTTCGTAATTTTACTCTTTGGTAGTCTCTAGTTTCATTTTGTATATAATTTTTTTATCGTAAAAGGAGTCGGAAAGGAGATATTGTCAAAATACTTCTTTTAAGCGCCTTTTTCCTAATATGGCGGCGCGAGCAGCAAAAATACAAGGTGGCAAATTCGAAATTCGGAAAGAGCACCTCAAAATTTATAAAATTACCAATTTTCAGAACTCCCGGAAAACTTTCCAGGTAACCACTTATTTCTCGCCAAATGACTGTACTATCAAACAACCAAACAAATGCTAACAGACAAATGACAAGAAACTCGAGTAATAAACAAAAGACAGATCCGTACCGTAATGGTTATTATGGGTGGAATTGTGACAAAAACTCCATTCATGCACTTTAGTCATAAAAAAAGTTGTAACAAAATTGACAGATAGAAAGGGATTTTTAGTTTGCGTAAAATGTTTTTCAATGTATTTAAATACCCGTTTTTTAAAGGTTCTGTTAAAAACAACCTCATTTAGATTATACAAGAAGCATCTTTTACCAAGGCAATTTTACATTAAAGATGTGTAAACAAACCGCTGCAGTGCGTAGATAACAAAATGTTAATCTTATAATGATTTGTTTTGTTTAAAGAGATAACTTTTACAAGCTCAGAAGTGATTATTGACGGTAACCAAATTTATGTTAATGGCCTGAAAAAATAAAACATTATAAGGATGTGTCTTAACAAATATACAACATTCCAAAATATAGACAGAGGGAAGTGTAAGTAATTTCAATTTGGGAAATAGCTGTCTCCATGATGTCATTTGCGAGATATCGCCTGTAGCTCGGATGCATTGTTTTCGGGATATAAAAGCTCTGTTAAATGTCCGTAGAATTTCCCAATAAAAGTACAACGTATTTAACATTGGATGCAACATATCCATGATAAGCCATTAAATCTGCGTTCAATAACACCATTACGACCTGGATTGAGACATAGGACACTTATTTTCGCAAAAATAGGTGGGGTTCCTGTGGTATTCTTCAAAAGCCAAAATTAACGCGAACGAAGTCACGGGCAGCTACTAGTATTATTAATGGAGTACGTTATATCCTTTCCTAAGTTCTTTCCTGGGATTCGCACCATGCATTTACTAAATTTAATTTAAACGCTTCGGCGGTGAGGTAACAAACAAACAGACACTTCTGCATTTAACATCTAAATTATATAACTGTACTACTCGGCTTTACGGGCGTTAATTTGAGGAAAAAATCAACTAATAAAAAATACTCCATACCATCGCAAATAATACATTATTAAAAAAAAAGGATTACCATAAAAAAGTTAAAGTAAGTTAACCGTGAAAGAAAGACAGACATATATCCCCTCATTGATATAAAGTATAAGCTTAGATTACTAACTCCATGTTTAGTCCCTGTTCATTGCATTATATATCGCATTTTAGTAATATGAACAAAACACGGCGTAACTAGTCTAAGCGTATTTGGAACAAGCTGTATCCCGGAATTATTTTTAAAAACATTTAAAGAGGAAAAAAATTGCCATGCATGATTTGTGCATAACTTATAATTCTCGAAAAGTTTTTGTTTCTGCCCATATTGTTTGTAGCTTTATGTGATATGGCCTTTAGTTTTCCCAATAAATGAACTAATCGCCCAAATTATTTCAAAATCAAAATTGTAAAGTTATAGTAGAATAAATTAACACACGTGAAATCTTTAAACATTACACGCGTTCTGGCAGTGGTGTAAAAACATTTAAAAAAGTACCACAAATTCAAATCGTTCCTATTGGTATCAAAATTACCTGTTTGCCAGTCTGTAGTAGTGAAGGAATTTTCGATTAGTTAATCGATTTGTTTAGTTCATTGTTTCGAAAGGGCTTATTCTTATTGGTAGGTGCAGTTCACTAATTACTTATATATTAAAATGGAGAGTATAAATGACATAGATGGATGGTTTTGGCACTATTTATTATTTAACATTTGTAGACGACACTTATTTCAATAATGTCTCTTGTAAACGGTAACGCTATTTATTTGGAGAATATAGAGGGACCATGCTTTCAAAGTGTGAGTGGCGCGCAGGTTGAACAGCATGTAAGTTTAAGATAATATTAACTAATTTAAATAAATTTTATTGCAATGTATTATTTTTACAATTTTTATAGACACACTGTAAATATTGTTTTGAAAATGTTTTTCGTTCACTTCTTTTTATAGTACTTCTATTTTACGTATAATTAAAAATAACATCTTGACTAACAAAAGTTTTCTAAAAAAGTTATTCTATAATGAAATGTTCATTTCATTATATATTTTTACAAAATTATGTATTTTACCTAAACATTTTTTTTTTCACTATAATAACATTTTTACATACTGTAGTTATTAACAGTAATTTCTTTGTCCTAACAGCCTGAGTGCAGCGAATTGGTGGGGCTGCCGGTACTCAATTACCACCAGTACGAGTACCACCGGGATGGCGCTGCACCGGAGAATCTAGGAATTGTGGCCAACAGCGGTGCAATGCCTCCTTCTTACAACGTCCTGGCTCCAAACGACATCGCGGCTCCTATTGACATCCCAGTTTCGCACAACATCCCGGCTCCGTACGACGTCCCGGCTCCGTATGACGTCCCGGCTCCTTACGACTTCCCGGCTCCTTACGACGTCCCGGCTCTACCTGAAAATCAGGCTACTTACAACATGCCGCCACCTCCGTCTTACTACGCTATGGCTCCATCTTACAACATGCAGCCGCAACAGCAAGTTCTTTCATTGCAAGGTGGGCACAATCATATCAACCAAGATTCACGGTGTTGTAACTACGGTGGGCAGCCTGTGCACGTAGTCAATAAATCTGCTACCAAAAAGCCAAAGCGACACAGGACTGCCTTTACCACGGATCAAATTACTGCTCTGGAGCTGGAATTCGCGAAGTCGCGATATGTAGACCGCACTCGGCGTTTGGAACTGGCAAATACGCTGCGCATGACCGATCGCGCTATCAAAGTCTGGTTCCAAAACCGGCGGATGAAAGACAAAAAGGAGAGGATGGGAAGCCCAGAAATAGATATTTCGTCAAGTTTCAATCATTCTGAGCATCGACAATGTTTTTGTAATAAATGACTCTAAAGTGATCCTATTAAGAAATATGTTTATGTTAATTAAAATAAATCTAAAATACCTATTTTACATTTTGTTTTTGTTCTCAACCTAAGTTTTTTTCACAAAGACTTTTAACAACAGGTATTTGGGAGTTTGAGAGACATATTCTTACTCATGGTGTCATTTTTAGTTTTTTTTTCTATTTATTTAGGTAAACAAAAAATTACAAAGTAAATACATAAAATATATGTATTGGTAATGAGATATATATATTTTAATCGAGCACCGTTTACCGAAATTTCCATCAAACAGCGTTGAGTGTATTAATATTAACAACGCAACTGACAAGGTGTGTTACAATATAACTAGAAAAAAATATCCAGGCAGCAGACGGGACTCGAACCCGCACCCTTCGCTATCCGAGCGAATGCACTGAATAATTATGCTACCGCGGCCCTAATGGCCGCTTCGAAACTCTTCTAGCCAAGCTTAAGCTGCAAGGCAGCGCCACCTCTTTGCATTGTAGGTAACCCACAATGTCAAATGAATACTTTTACAAGTATTAAACATTTGAAAGAAGAAATAGCAATTATAGTTATAATTTAAGTTTTTTAAGCATGTAACTGCTTGATGTTTAAATATAAAGAGTTAGCCTTAAATTCGTTAGTTATCTCGCCTTAAACCCATACTTAAATACCAAATAATATTATTCTCTGTATATAAGAACTAGTAGCACATTTTTACCTCTACACTGGCCACTACAGAAACTGAAGTTTTCCCTTTGTTTGTGTTTGTAATAATGGAAACGGAACCCTACACTGAACATCCAACATGTTCTTGCCCGGTATAAAATCTTGTTTAATTATGACTTGAAATTTGCTTAATTCACTTGGATAAAAACGTAGTAAGTTCAAGGCTCTCTGTGATAGATAAGCTTTTGGATAATACCGCAAGAGGACTTCGGTCTCCCTGTGAAAAATTCGCATTTGAAGAAGAATGCAACAGGTCAAAGTCTTACATTGACTACTTCTCAAATTGGACAGGCATAAACCGAATTATTCAGATTATGTTTGAGGTACACCTGGACAGAAGGTCACTATTCCCGTTGCGTTTGTATACAGTGACTATTCGCGACCAAGGAGACGCTTATATATTTCAATAATTCTCGACTCGATGTTGACCTCGTTATAATGTTGTTTCTGATATATTGTCAAAATATACAGGTATATCATTTATTTTATATCCGATGTTTTTTAAAATGCTCAACATGATGAACATGAGTCTCACTATTACTATTTGTCGATTTGTAATTCAATGGGAATAGTGAGGCTGGTTTGAAAAAAAAGTTCAGTCTCAGTATTACCATTGAAATAGTGAGACCCACCCTTGCAAACACCTTCTGCATTGCTCTTAGCAGTTTACTCCCAAGTAGAATTCGGTGCAAAATTTACACTATTTTAAGTATCTTCCATATAAGTAACTCGTATTTCCCAAGCTTACATAAAATTTTAGTTGCAGGTAAGTATATAAAACACATGTGAATCCGGGAAAAAATAACATTTCTTGTAGATCATATTATACTGTCGTGAATCACCAGGAAGAGAGGTGTGAGGTTATTATTAACCCTTACACAAGTTACCCAATTAGCAAAGTATCAATCATTATATTTTCGATTTCCACACTTTCATCATAATATATTATAAATGATTCACTTTTAAATTATTACTTCATTGGAGCTTTATAGTAACAGATCTTTTAAAAGCATTGTTAATCATCAAATAAATTCGATTAACTATATATTTACGTTTAACAATTTTTTTTAAATATCTCTGATTGAATATTGTAAGCCTAAATAAAAATCTAAAAAATTGTTGACAACATCAGCGTGAATATGTCTCCCACAACCGGTACCTAGGTATTAAGAAAATTCATGCGGTAATTGGGGATAACGTCAATAAATTAGGGAAACACACAGGCTGTTCAAAAAGTATCGCGAATTTTATATTTCGGTGGGCTACGTCCCTGAACGAGTTTTGACCTATCTTCGATTTCTTCCTATTTCTAAATCTGGGAGTACCGTGTCTATATATATATTTAATACGAAATTCAGTGTACAGTCGCATTTCGATTGTTAATTGTGTCAAAAGGTGAAGGCTACCTTTCCCTTAAAATATTTATCGGTGCTACAAAACTTGCTCAAGGGGGCCAAGATGACAGACAAAGTGTGTAGCATGCTAACAACAGACGAAAACTTAATAAAAAAAAAACAATGTATTGGTCCATCGTCGAATCACAATTAGAGAAGTTGCTGTGGACACCACATATCGATTGGCTCGTGCCATTTCATTGTTATCATTGATTTGGGCATAAGGCAGCTCGCCGTACAAAATCATGCCTAAATAGGTCTATTTTAATTTTTTTGTGCGTGATGCTTTGGACAAAATCACCACGCTAATGATACAGCAGCCGCCCGTATTTCACAGATCTGGAACTGTGCCGTTTCCAGTTCCCAAAACTGAAAAGGCCCATGAAAAGACGACGCTACGCCACAACGAAAGCTATAAAGACGGCATCGAAGGAGGAGATGAACAAGATCACAAAGAAAGATTTTTTCATGCTTCGAGAATTGGAAAAAGCTTTTGTATATATGTATATTTTTTTTGGGAACCCAAGAAAAACGATAACTTAAAATTAAAATTTTTGAACAACTTGGTATACTTTTTTTATAAATTACATAGGTATAATCGTATTTTGTGAAGAAAATATATATTGGTTGTCCCTTATAAACAAACATTTCTTATTGTATTATAATTAATAATAAGTACGCTTTACAAGAGCTGTTTTATTTTATAATTGTAATAAAATAAACATTTAGTTGTGAACCACTTAAATATATTAAAATGGAAGCTTGTGGGTTGTTAGCATTAAAATAATATTTTGCTAATCGGGTAACTTCTGTAAGGGTTCATGATAATTTTTTGTTGGTGATACACGATACTATCCAACAAATGATAATTTTGATTAGATTCGCATCTATTTTAAATACTTACTTAACACTCAAATTTTAAAAAGAAGAGAGAAAAATATATATTAAAATATATTAAATAGTGCCAATTCTGCACCGCTTGCCATTTAGAGGGGTGAAATGCTAAGAGTAATGCAGAAGAAGTTATCTGCACCGTTCGAGATTTATAATTTATTTATCAACATTCAGAAATGATTTATCGAATATCGCATAATTGGTAGTTATAATAAGAAACGGCGAAAAGCGCCACATTTTTTAATACGACCTATAAAATAGACATTTACTAAAGTTATCCTCCCTTATTAATAAACGAAGAATGGGCTTGGATGAGTTACTCTATATTTTGTCTCTGATAATTGAATTACAAAAATCACTTAAGTGATCTTTTATGAACAAACCACGATGTAACCAGTCTAAGCTTATTCCTCATTTATAATGAGGGGGGATAAGGCTTAAACAACCAAACAAATGCGAACAGACAAATGACAAGAAACTCGAGTATAAACCAAAATATACATGCGGGCAATACTCATTGAAGGTGAAAAACGTCACAAAAAACACGCTATCCGTGTAGTTTTGTAAGTAAGTAATAAATGAAACTTATTAAACTAATTCCTCTAGCCATTCTTAAGCTGCAAGTCAGCGCCATCTCTTTGCATTGTACGTAACCCACAATGTCAAATGAATACTTTTACAAGTATTAAACATTTGAAAGAAGAAATAGCAATTATAGTTATAATTTTAGTTTTTTAAGCATGTAACTGCTTGATGTTTAAATATAAAGAGTTAGCCTAAAATTCGTTAGTTATCTCGCCTTAAACCCATACTTAAATACCAAATAATATTATTCTCTGTATATAAGAACTAGTAGCACATTTTTACCTCTACACTGGCCACTACAGAAACTGAAGTTTTCCCTTTGTTTGTGTTTGTAATAATGGAAACGGAACCCTACACTGAACATCCAACATGTTCTTGCCCGGTATAAAATCTTGTTTAATTATGACTTGAAATTTGCTTAATTCACTTGGATAAAAACGTAGTAAGTTCAAGGCTCTCTGTGATAGATAAGCTTTTGGATAATACCGCAAGAGGACTTCGGTCTCCCTGTGAAAAATTCGCATTTGAAGAAGAATGCAACAGGTCAAAGTCTTACATTGACTACTTCTCAAATTGGACAGGCATAAACCGAATTATTCAGATTATGTTTGAGGTACACCTGGACAGAAGGTCACTATTCCCGTTGCGTTTGTATACAGTGACTATTCGTGACCAAGGAGACGCTTATATATTTCAATAATTCTCGACTCGATGTTGACCTCGTTATAATGTTGTTTCTGATATATTGTCAAAATATACAGGTATATCATTTATTTTATATCCGATGTTTTTTAAAATGCTCAACATGATGAACATGAGTCTCACTATTACTATTTGTCGATTTGTAATTCAATGGGAATAGTGAGGCTGGTTTGAAAAAAAAGTTCAGTCTCAGTATTACCATTGAAATAGTGAGACCCACCCTTGCAAACACCTTCTGCATTGCTCTTAGCAGTTTACTCCCAAGTAGAATTCGGTGCAAAATTTACACTATTTTAAGTATCTTCCATAGAAGTAACTCGTATTTCCCAAGCTTACATAAAATTTTAGTTGCAGGTAAGTATATAAAACACATGTGAATCCGGGAAAAAATAACATTTCTTGTAGATCATATTATACTGTCGTGAATCACCAGGAAGAGAGGTGTGAGGTTATTATTAACCCTTACACAAGTTACCCAATTAGCAAAGTATCAATCATTATATTTTCGATTTCCACACTTTCATCATAATATATTGTAAATGATTCACTTTTAAATTATTACTTCATTGGAGCTTTATAGTAACAGATCTTTTAAAAGCATTGTTAATCATCAAATAAATTCGATTAACTATATATTTACGTTTAACAATTTTTTTTAAATATCTCTGATTGAATATTGTAAGCCTAAATAAAAATCTAAAAAATTGTTGACAACATCAGCGTGAATATGTCTCCCACAACCGGTACCTAGGTATTAAGAAAATTCATGCGGTAATTGGGGATAACGTCAATAAATTAGGGAAACACACAGGCTGTTCAAAAAGTATCGCGAATTTTATATTTCGGTGGGCTACGTCCCTGAACGAGTTTTGACCTATCTTCGATTTCTTCCTATTTCTAAATCTGGGAGTACCGTGTCTATATATATATTTAATACGAAATTCAGTGTACAGTCGCATTTCGATTGTTAATTGTGTCAAAAGGTGAAGGCTACCTTTCCCTTAAAATATTTATCGGTGCTACAAAACTTGCTCAAGGGGGCCAAGATGACAGACAAAGTGTGTAGCATGCTAACAACAGACGAAAACTTAATAAAAAAAAAACAATGTATTGGTCCATCGTCGAATCACAATTAGAGAAGTTGCTGTGGACACCACATATCGATTGGCTCGTGCCATTTCATTGTTATCATTGATTTGGGCATAAGGCAGCTCGCCGTACAAAATCATGCCTAAATAGGTCTATTTTAATTTTTTTGTGCGTGATGCTTTGGACAAAATCACCACGCTAATGATACAGCAGCCGCCCGTATTTCACAGATCTGGAACTGTGCCGTTTCCAGTTCCCAAAACTGAAAAGGCCCATGAAAAGACGACGCTACGCCACAACGAAAGCTATAAAGACGGCATCGAAGGAGGAGATGAACAAGATCACAAAGAAAGATTTTTTCATGCTTCGAGAATTGGAAAAAGCTTTTGTATATATGTATATTTTTTTTGGGAACCCAAGAAAAACGATAACTTAAAATTTAAATTTTTGAACAACTTGGTATACTTTTTTTATAAATTACATAGGTATAATCATATTTTGTGAAGAAAATATATATTGGTTGTCCCTTATAAACAAACATTTCTTATTGTATTATAATTAATAATAAGTACGCTTTACAAGAGCTGTTTTATTTTATAATTGTAATAAAATAAACATTTAGTTGTGAACCACTTAAATATATTAAAATGGAAGCTTGTGGGTTGTTAGCATTAAAATAATATTTTGCTAATCGGGTAACTTCTGTAAGGGTTCATGATAATTTTTTGTTGGTGATACACGATACTATCCAACAAATGATAATTTTGATTAGATTCGCAATTATTTTAAATACTTACTTAACACTCAAATTTTAAAAAGAAGAGAGAAAAATATATATTAAAATATATTAAATAGTGCCAATTCTGCACCGCTTGCCATTTAGAGGGGTGAAATGCTAAGAGTAATGCAGAAGAAGTTATCTGCACCGTTCGAGATTTATAATTTATTTATCAACATTCAGAAATGATTTATCGAATATCGCATAATTGGTAGTTATAATAAGAAACGGCGAAAAGCGCCACATTTTTTAATACGACCTATAAAATAGACATTTACTAAAGTTATCCCCCCTTATTAATAAACGAAGAATGGGCTTGGATGAGTTACTCTATATTTTGTCTCTGATAATTGAATTACAAAAATCACTTAAGTGATCTTTTATGAACAAACCACGATGTAACCAGTCTAAGCTTATTCCTCATTTATAATGAGGGGGGATAAGGCTTAAACAACCAAACAAATGCGAACAGACAAATGACAAGAAACTCGAGTATAAACCAAAATATACATGCGGGCAATACTCATTGAAGGTGAAAAACGTCACAAAAAACACGCTATCCGTGTAGTTTTGTAAGTAAGTAATAAATGAAACTTATTAAACTAATTCCTCTAGCCATTCTTAAGCTGCAAGTCAGCGCCATCTCTTTGCATTGTACGTAACCCACAATCTCAAATGAATACTTTTACAAGTATTTAACATTTGAAAGAAGAAATAGCAATTATAGTTATAATTTTAATTTTTAAGCATGTATTTGCTTGATGTTTAAATCTAAAGAAAATATAACTAGAAAAAAAAACAATTATGTTGTTGCTATACTCAATAGATGACATTTTTAAAAGCTACTTTTAAAATAAAAATGTCTTTTAAATTGTATGTACTCTAAGCTAGAGATAACTGAACATTAAGAAAATGTAAACAAACATCTGCAGTAATTTTATTTTTATGGGGAGAAAATTCCTGAACCGGTTCAAGAAACGAAGTGAGTAAACAATCTTACGGCTCACTTCGGCAATTTGTGTGGTCCAGCTGAGAGAGGAATCAATGTAAAGACAATTTTTTTTTACACCTAAACTAAGCGGCAGTATCGTGCCTTCATACACGACAGGCCGGAGAGAACTTTGGTCAATTTTAACTATTTGTTTAGAGCCACCTACGATAATGGCCTGACAAGATTATGACGAAAATATTTGTACCACAAAATATAATCGTCACTGGCCATGGCCTCTCATGCCAAACGAGTTTTGGCCGAGTCTCCCGCCACGCCTGCATCAATGACGTCATCCGCAGGGCTCTTGTCGCTGTCAACGTACCAGCGGTCCTTGAGCCTAGTGGCATCTTCCGCGACGATGGCAAGACACCTGACGGGATGACGCTCATTCCTTGGAAGCAGGATCATCCTCTTGTATGGAACGCAACCTGCGCGTATACGCTTGCTCCGTGCCATACAGGTAGTACCTCCCTAGCTGCAGGCGCAGCGGCGGCCTCTGCCGTGTGCTCCAAGCGGTGCAAATATTCAGCTCTCAATAGAACTACATATTTATGCCGTTTGGTGTTGAGACTATGGACCCATGAGGTCCAAATGCTTCCAGCCTATTGAGCATTATTCTTGATGGCGATGTGATTTTTTATTTTGTTTATTTATTTATGTGGGTTACTAGGTAAAACTATATAATTTTTAGGTTTGTGTTATTTTAAGGTATTATCTTCGTAAAATAATAAACGTAATAAAAATTGTCACTGTACTGGCATGAAAATTAAGTAATTGTGGGAAATTGTTAATGAATTTTCAATTTGTTAATCGTTTTGTTTTGTTCAGTGCATTTATTCATGTACTTAATGAGGGGGCCATTACACACACTAATTAGTGTAGGATTAAAATTAGGCGTATACACGAAATAGAATAAGTACTAAAACGAATAACTGTTGCACCTGAAATCGAGGTCTGCAACGAAGAAATTATTATTCCTTATAAAATCTTAACCTTTTTGAACATCCCGTCTCATTATAACATCCCTTAAACTTACAGAATCTCACCTAATTACAACATACCTACATCCAACATGTCTCCTCCTTACAACATAGCTCTTTCGTACTGCCTGCCAATAAAATTTATTTACTACCTACAGGTAGGTAGGTCGTTATTCCGCTAACTCCGCGCGATGTCATTACAACGGTGGACAGTTATCTAGTGTCGTCAAGAAATCTTCAACTAAAAAGCCTAAGCGTCACACTGCTTTCACAGAAGATCTAAATAACAGTATTAGAAACGGAATACGCACAGAAGTATGTGATGCGTCAAATGGAACTACCCAATTTCCACCGCATTACAGATAGCTGTTCAAAAGTCTGGTTTCATAACAGGTGGATGAAGGAGAAAGAGGAGATGACTACATACCCTTATGTGTCAATCAATCTGAAGGTTTTTGGAATAACTAATTCTATGGTGTTTGTGTTAAAGATAATGTTGTTTGTGTTTTTGTAAATAAATGTCTTAAATATTATTGTATATTTTTTTCATTGTAAGCCTCAGTTTCCAGTTGATTTCTTAGTTTAGGGGTTTCATCGAAAAGAAATATTATAGATGATAACAACACAATATGTACAACGCATAATTTCTTACAGCTCAGTCAGATTTAAATAATATTTTCTTTATTGGAAATGCTTATACCCCGAAGTTGGTCCCATATAAATTTGAAAAAAAACACCTTAAGGGTAGGAAAACAGGGAATTATTGTTCTTATGATTATTTGTTATGATTGATTGTTCACCCAAAAAATATTAAAACGGGTTATCAGATCGTGTTTAGATCTATTATAAAGATAAAGTACTCAACGCATTTTCGACGACCTCCGTGGCCGAGCGGTTTGTCCGTGGCCGAGCGGTTTGTACGCCGGGTTAAAAGGTATCGCCTACTTGAGAGTCGCGGGTTCGAATCCCGGTGGGGGCAGATGTTTGTGTGACGAATACGAGCATTTGTATGGATGTTTAATATCTATTTCTAATATAAATATTTACATATGTATCAGTATATTTATTCTATCCATTACCTTAGTGTCCTATAAATATGAGCCTACAATGCTTACTTTGACGCAAGGCTAATTGGTGTGAGTGTTGGTTTAAAAAAAACGCACGTGAATACCTTCTACTCGCTAATTATATATTTTTTATATTTCATTAATTGCTCACAAGTAGGTACTGCAAAAAACACATTATGATCATATCAATGTAAGACAAATAAATAAACTTAATATTATAATTTAAACTTTGACTAATTATTTGTAAAATGTTCTTTGATTGCGAACTGTAAAATAGACTATCACTTAACTTCTTAATAAACGAAGAAAAATCTTGGATTAGTTACTCTGTTTTATCTCTGTTAATTAAATTACAAATGACCCTTGAGTGGGACGGAACGTGGGACACTCGGAAACACTCGGTGTTAGGTCGCTTGTTGCTCACTGCAAAAAAAACTTCTGGCAGGCATTTTGTGCTATACCATTCGGCGTTGATGCTGCTTTGGTCTCGAAGTGGAATTGAAATTAGGTACCCCGTCAAAGTGAAGAAACTAGCGATCAAAATTTTCCCTGCGCTCCCCGATCGCTTCACTTTCGTAGGCGTTTGTTCATTTTGAAACAGCCTAACTGTCGACTGACGCTTTGTTTCTGCATCGTTTGAATTAATCCAGCATTCGTCACCTACCACAATATCGTAAACGCGCCTTGACGAGCCTGCATCAAATTTTTGTATATATCACTGCACCAATCCACACGGGCCTGCTTCTGAACTTCGGCGAGGTTGTGCGGCACCCAGCGGGAAACTATCCTCGTTACGCAAAGGTGCTCGGGCAAAATCTTGTGAACACCTCCTGAACCAATCTGCAATGCTGAATCTCCTCGTACGTAATTCGTCTCTTTTCTTGAATATTTTTTTTACTGCTAGCACACTTTCTTCGGTGGCAGCCGTCGTAGGACGACCAAATCTTTTTTCATCCCCCAAAGTAAGTTCCCCTGACCGCGTTTGAATTCGCTATACCAGCGGTAGATGGTCGCTTTTGAAGGTCCTTCATCCATAAAAGTAGTTCGAAATCGATCAAATGACTCATCTGGTTTTAGGCCACATTTAAAGTCGTAATAAATCATTGCACGAACATGTTCTCAATGCAGATCCATTTTTTAATAAGACAAGTAAAAATTTATTGGGTCTCGAAAAGATGCGGATGCTTTTAAATAATGGAAGTTTTCAAAATAATAACAAGTGGCTAGTGTCTTATGCGTAAAAACTTTTTTTCGCAAACTTTCTGAGTGGTCATGTGGTATTTATGAACAAAACACGGCGTAACTAGTTTAAGCTTATGCCTCGTTTATTGATATCGGGGATAAGGTTTATAGTACAGTCATTTCGTAATTTTACAAGACTCGACTGGCAACACTGAAGAGTGCACTTGTCAAATTTTAGTACTCATATTTAAATTTTTATTTAATTATTTTAATTGTATTTGTTCGTGTTAAAGTTACAATAAACAGTGATATAATATTGTGTTACTTATGTGAAATTGAAATCACGAAGTTTCAATACAAGGATTTTGTATAAACAACACATCAAGTTCTCATCAAACTGTCAACGGATAGTTGAAGAAATAACGGCTCTGATAAGCAATATTAGCACCAAATATTGTGGAATGGCTATTGCTTAAACCTGGGGAGTATTGTTTTCATTATTTCATAAATAGAAAACAGTACAAAAAATTCAATAAGTATTATAATATGTAATTCTAAGACAATCACATCCAAAGTTGAACAGTTTTGTTTTTTGTTTTTATTCTATTTAATTCTATAAGCTATCACGAACATTTCATCAATTGTTTACCAAAATATATGATAATAAACAAATATTCAATATTTGATTTGGCAAAGATTGAATAATTAACTTAAATTTGACATCACTTACTTCTGTCACATTAAACTGGATACAAAGTTAAAATAAGTGTATTAAATTAAATCTGTTCTGCCTACCAACTTTGTTTGAGCTGTGAAAGCGTACATAGTTGCTTTTTAAAGTATTTAATATAATAAATACTATTAGTTAATATTGAGTGCATTAACTTTTCCCATAGTTATCTACCCTCTTCATAAAAAAAGGAATTTTGTTGTCCATATTATATTATATATAAAAAGAATTGCCTTTGTCTCTAAAATATATTAAAAGAAACTTATACAGTTTTAATTATTTCAGATTTTCATACAAACACCAAAAATGATGACCCGCAAAGCTACAGCTCAAAACACTGACCTTAAATTAAGGCAAACCCTGGAAGAATTGAAGTTAACAAAGGAAACTTGCAGTCAGCTCCTTCGTGAACGTGATGAGAGTGAAACTGAAATCAAGAAAATCATTGACAAGAATACCCAGCTCAAAAATGAGCTTTCCCAACTACACTCTCAGCATGTAGAAGTTGTTTTACAACGGGATGAACTGAATAGTACTATCAGTACTTATGACCAACAGTTTGGCACTTTTGAGAGGGCCCTACAGCGTATTACAGACCTAGAAAAAGAGCTTTGTGCAGCAAACAAGCAAATAGCTCATTATACAGAAGCTCAGCAACTACAAGAAACTGCACACACACAAAGCCTCTTTGAAGAACTAATGGCATCTCCCGGAGGACCCTTAAACTTGAATTTAAATTTAGAGCCTGTAGCTAGTATGAAGGTTTCACATAATAGTGTAAGTGCGAAAAAATTAAAAAAATATATCCGAATCAGTAAATTCATAAAAAAAACTGAGAAACTTGTAAAAAAAAACAATTGTTTTTATAAAAATATATCCCTTAGAAAGGAAAAAATTAACCTCATGGACTCTCTTGACATATATAATACAAAATTACATGAAAGTAGGCAGATGTATGACCGAGATACAAAGAAATTACTATTAGAAATTCAAAATTTACATGAGTCGTTAGAATCAATTAAACATAAATATGCTAGTGCACAAAGTCAAATAACGGAGCACATAAAATCTGCAACAGAATTAGTTGAACTGTGCAATTTCAACGCAGAACGTTATGACTCGTTGATTAAAAGTCAATTGATTGGTTCTTCAAATCAATCATCATTGTCATTAGCTTTAGAAGAAAATGGTAATATAGATAATAATCAAGTTTCCCAAATTTCTGGTCATTCATCAGTCTATTTACAAAAAATTGGCACAACATATAATAATTCTCCTTTCAAGCCAGCGCTTTCTGAAAACTCAAAGTTGAATAAAAATAAAACAATTATATTCTCAGACAAGTTAGGTCAGGGGCTAGGACTATTAGTAAAAAATTTCAGCGAGGAAAATATTATAAATATATGTACTCCTGGAAAATCATTTAATGACATTGTTAATAATTTGACCTACCATAATGTGGATAGTTATACGAACCTCTTGTTTTTGTGTGGTGACAGTTCCAAATTATCAATACGGGACATTACAAAAAGTATTGAGCACTTATTAAAAATACAATCTAAATCAAATTGTAAAATAATAATTAGCGCTTTCCCATATGCACATAACTTATCTAGGGAACAGAACAAGCGCATCTTTAATTTAAATTTAAGTATTTATAATTTAATTAATAGTCATAGTGACGTATGTTTATATTTTGATATAAATAAATATATTAGATATTTTAAGTTGACTACAGATACTATGTATCTCGCAAAGAGATTTAGGACCCAGATAGCTAATTTGTTAGCTTTTAATATACAAAATACGGTTATACATGGTATAACTAACCCTATTCAACAAAATAGTGTTAGTATTTCTAGTAAAAGAAATATTAACTCTATTAACAATTTAACCAGCCCAGTTTTAAACTGAGCTTAAAGACAACAGCCAAACCTAATAAAAGCATTATTAATATTATTCATCAAAATATACAAGGTTTGGCTGGCAAAGACCTAGAATTAGAATTGTATTCGAAAAGTGAGGACATACACATTATATGTTTAACGGAACACTGGCTCAAGCTTTGTGAAATGTCTTATCACATAAACAATTTTCAGTTGTTGAGTGCTTATGTTCGAAAGACAGCCATACACGGCGGCTCATTGATTTTTGTCAACAAAAATATTAGATGTAAGGA